TGAACATCAGCAACACAAGCGGTACCAATAGGAAGCTCGCTGAAATTGCTGCCCATGACTGAAAGAGTTTAAAGTTCCATACCCCAAAAGTTAACGTGTTCGAAGAAATTCCGCAAAGATGAGAACTTTTTTGAACTWAGAGATACTTACTGAGAAACGACATCGTGGGTCGAAGCCAATCGAGGAGACCAAATGAGAAATCTTCCGAACTGAGCAGTTGAAAGGGAAWTCATGTATGATTCTGCTCTAAAAGACTCTTCATCAGAGGGTTTCTCCATTTCCGAACTTAGAAGAATTGAAACTTCACTGCCGTCTGGGAGATTCAAATTCTTACTGTTCCTCATAGACTGAGAGAGTTCGTTCTCCACAGATGTTTTTCCGAATAAAACCAACACAGAAGATGATGAGTTCTCCATGGCTAAAACAAAATAACAGATTACAGGAAAGACAAGAACAGAAATATATTGTAAGACCATGAGAGTCGACAATGGTTGAAAGTGTCAAACTGACCTAAGAGTGATAGAGAACGTTTAATCTTCTGGGTACTGTAGATAGTTCTTGTTGGTACGACTGCGACCAGAGAACGTATCAGAACGGCCGTCAATGGCATGTCATGACACTGAAGATTGCWGTGATAGGAAGTGGCTCTYCCGATCTCGAAGAAGATTGCAACTTTCGATCTTCGAGTTTCGAGTTTGAGTCGAGCGACGTTACTCCCAATTGACTCGCACGGAAATGCGAGCTCATTGATGAGTCGACGACTGAGAATTCTGGCATGACCGATTCCGACTCGGCTTTGAATTTTGGATTAGAGAATGACCAGTTGACCACCGTACTAAGCACGGGGCAGCTATTACCAAAATGTGTTAACTTTTACTATTTTTTATACTTTAAAATGAATTTAAAATTACTGTATTAGATTATAGGGAAAATTCCCTGAACTTTGGGGGTGGGGGTAGTGTCAAGTTGTTGGTCCTTGTCCTTAACTGAATGTGAGTTATTTGTTGAAAATGTCAAAACTACCCTTTAAAAGAAGGCATTGTTTATTGTCTTTTATCTTGAGGTTAAACAGGTTATTTTTAAAGAAAAAAAGAGAAAAAACATGAAATATGATAAAGGGAAACAATAATTGAAAGCAAAGAAATAATATTTCAAATCTAAAGGTAGAAGACAATGACTTCATTAGTCTAGAATCCCAAACACTTCAACTAGTTCAGTCTCAAGGTATACTACAATGAATAGTGTCTTCYTTTGAATGGTAGTTTTGATATTTTTCAATAGATAACTGACGATCGATTAACAGCAGGGACCAACTTGACACTTTTTGAAAGTTTAAGTACTACAGTAACACGTTTGAAAGTTCGGATACTAACTTGACACTACCCCAAAGTTCAGGATAGTAAAGTGGAATTTTCCCTATATTATATTGAATTGTTTACTAATTAAGCAACAATAAATTTAAATTATATAATCTTTCTTACATTTGGTATGTTTATATGCTTTATTTAATTAAGATACTAGAGAGTTCGGATCTGCTTTAAAATATCTAATCTTACTCATATGTTTATATGCTTTATTTAATTAAGATACTCATATTTGGTATGTTTATATGCTTTACTCATATTTGTACTAGAGAGTTCGGATCTGCCGCTAACCGAGCTCGCCTCACAGTGACTTCATAGTNATGCTTTATTTAATTAAGATACTAGAGAGTTCGGATCTGCTTTAAAATATCTAATCTTACTCATATGTTTATATGCTTTATTTAATTAAGATACTCATATTTGGTATGTTTATATGCTTTACTCATATTTGTACTAGAGAGTTCGGATCTGCCGCTAACCGAGCTCGCCTCACAGTGACTTCATAGTACGTTTCAGCCATGCATTGACAACATTTTCCAATGAATAAATATTTTTAAGTCCGAGATATTTCATATGCACATCTAGACGTTGGGGGATGCTAACTATTAGTTAGCATGAATAATAGTTAAAGAGCCTTGGAATTAATCCACTTGAGGTGGATCTTTTTATTGTAACTAGGAAGCTAATTTTTAATTAGTTAATTAGATTAATTATTTCTTTCTTTTATGTTTTTTTTTTATTTATTTTAAAGGGCTACACAATGGGGGGCATATCATCCCCCAACCCAGGTGCGGGCGGGATTCAATCCTAAGTTTACGCTACAACCAGTAGGAGACCTTACCAATCAGATTGGCGCATTGCTAGCTACTTACTTCTTTCTTAATGGATTGAGATCTAAATTAGAGTGGGTCTTCTTTTGTGTTGATGTGTTCCCACCTGTATGAAGATAACTTTTTCTTTTAAAGTGGGGTTAACCACTTTCACTTTTTRAGAGTGGATAGCTTTTCATATGAGAGTATGAGCAACTACTTCTAAGATGCTCTTTCTTAAAAAAAAAAAAAAAGATGTCATTTGTCTGAGTGAGAAGTAGGGGTGGCAACGAGCCGAGCTTTTCACGAGCTGCTCAAGCTCGAGCCCAATTCAGTGGCTCAATTATGAAATGAGCTGAACTCGAGCCTACTAAAGCTTGGCTCATGAGGCTCACGAGCCGGCTCGAATATATATATATAAAATAAAATTATAGAAAATAATATATATAATAAAAACATTATATTTATTAATTATTATAATTCTTAATTTTTTAGATATCAAATAAAAAATATTATTTTTATATATAATTTTTTATTTTTATAAAGTACTTTTCTTAAAATCGAGCTCTAGCCGAGCCGAGCTCGAACTTTGTAGAATAGTCTCAAGCCGAGCTCGAGCCTGGTACTTTTCAACTCGACTCAGCTCGAATCCACCCCTAGTGAGAAGCTCTCTAGTATGAGCGGTTTGTTTTAATATATATTCTAGCGGGACCCGTGCGATGCACGGGATTTGTTAAGAGCAAGCTAAACAATAGAAACACATAAGAGTATACAATTTTTTTATATTTTTAATTTTTAAATAATTGATAATTATTTATATTTTGGGTTTGACTATGATATGGGAAAGATATGATATCTAAAAAAATTTTGACCAATCAACTAGTATCACAAACGTGGTAACCAATCACGTGTTATTTATCAAAATTCATGGGTGGATTTTGATTTGTCAAAACTCTTCCAATACCATATATTTCCCACATCATAGATTTTCCCTTATATATTATATACTACTTTTAATAATTTTTTTACAATACAAAAGTAATAATAATTAATTTTAGCTAGGGTTGTTCATCAAATTGATGAAGCCGACCAACTTGACCCAATTTAATTAGTTGGTTTTCTAGTATTTCCAGTCGGTTTTGGTTCAACAATTTCCCAACTTGATCAAGTTAGATAAGTTTCGATTTAACCATTTGTAAATCGATCAAAATTGAATGACTCGACCATATATATATATAGGTATATATATTAATATTTTATATTTTTAATATGGGAAAGTGGGAAATTTTTCATATTTCTTATTTAAAATATTTTATATCATAAATTTATTTTTTAATAACGCCACTATAATTTTTAAATTTAAATTTAATTTTTAAGTTAAAAACTTTTGAACTAACCAACAAACTAAAAATTGACCCAAACTAATACAACCTGAGTTGGTTGGTTTTCACTAATGGTCAGTTGATTTCAGGTGACCAATTCCCTAACCTGACCAAGTCAATTTGGTTAGCCAAACAGCCTACAACTAAATCGAACCAATCCGCGAACAATCCTAATTTTAGCTAAATTAATAGTATAATCTCTAATAAATAGTAATAGTTTAATCTTCAATAATTATTTTTAATTTATAATGAAAATGCACAATTATTGAAAACATATTGATAATGTAAATACAATATGTACAATAATTACAAAAATAAAATAAACACTATAAAAAATTAAATTATTCAATAAATGGTTTAATCTCTA